ATTTGTTTCAGAGCTAGATACTACCAAGTACATACTCAAATCTAAGACATTTAAAAAATTTGAATTATTCAAAAGGATGTGCTACAAGGTTTACATGTTAGCAGGCATTCCTGAAACAGAATGATTTTTAAGGCAATTTATACCATGATAACCTCACGGGGGGGGGGAGGGGGGGTGTGGGGGGGGGGGGGGGGAGAGGAGGGGCGGAGAGGGAGTGATTTCTTCTATTAATACAAGTAATAGTAAACTCCTTAAGGAGTTCTGGTAGTGTAGTTGTTAGGAATCAGCCTGGTAATCTCAAGATCAGCAATTCAAAACTGCCACTGGTTGCACAGAAGAAAGATGAGGCTTTCTGCTCCTGTCAAGCTTTACAGTCTCGGAAACCACATACAAGGTCGCTATGAATCAGAACCAACTCCATGTCACAGAACTACCACCAATAATAAACTCCTTACACACACAGTAATCTGATTGCCACGAAATGGAAAATTATCATGTACTGAAAAGCTGAGCTACAAGATAACGTCCCCTGATGGGTGGATTATGGAAGAGAAGACTGAACTTGTGTCAGGCTGTTTGTAATTGATTTCAGAAACATTTCTTGGAATTGAAGGAGGAGCCCTTAAACCACAGTTAAAAAAATAATTATCAAAAAACAAACCTTTCCCATGGACTTAACTTATAGCTTAATTGAAATTGTGCCGTTAAAATGTAATTCTCTCACTGATACCTTATCATGTAGTGTGTGTCCACACCTTAGACAGGGGGGTTATGTTTAAACTCATTAGTCATTTATCCTGTGGAATGAATGAGTGAACTACATGTGCTAATAAGAAAATTATCTCATAAAGGGAAGGTAGAGAGGAACTAACTGCATTGAACAGCTTAAAGGGTGTTTGGGGAAGGTGGAGGGAGACGAAGATAGAACACAGGGTAGGGAGCAGGCACATCATAGCTCAGGTGTTGAGAAGGGGAATACACAAGAAGGGGGAGGGGAGGAAGAACGAGATAGAAAAGGAAACACTCAGACAGATTTGCATGAACTAAATGGGGCAGAGGTAAATAGTGATGCATACTCAACTTTGGAACAACAGGGCTCTGTGATACAGGGATCCAGGCATATCCTGACGAGGGGAAAGAATACTAAGATGCTTGACTGTCTTATGAATATTGGTTTTCCTTGCCTACTATTGTAAAATAGACACTTGTGTGGTATAGAAAGGCATGTCGAGAAACATGATTACAGAAAGCTTGTAAGCCTGTTTTCAGCCTATAACTGATTGGAATACCTAAAAGGAGTTCTACAACTTGCCCAGTGAATAGGCCTTTTACAGAGTCTTTGCAGTGTATAGGACCATACCCTATCCAGAACCTTCTGAAGTGGGACATTCCCACTAGAAAGGACAAGCAGACCAGCCTAGAACAGCTAGAGTGACTAAAGATACATCTTCAAAGAAAGAGCATCAGGAAAAACCCAAAACAAAAATGTCAGCATGACTGGCTACTACAAGAATAAGCACGCTGTTCACCAGGAAGCCATCAAGGCAAGCAATCAGGTTCCTTTAGGACAAGCTCCCCTCTAAGACTGAACTTAAAGGGAACACACAAACAGGCATGCATGTAAGCTTGCTGGCGACCACACTGGTCTACTGGCGAGTGGAAGAGGGGAAAAGGAAGCAATGAAGAAATGGGCTGAGTTCAACCACATTCCATAGACTCCCTTTGACCTGGAGATAAGAGAGAGAAGAGGAAGGGCTGGTTAGTCCAAAGTGTGGTGAGACCTGGGGACAGCTGAGCCCATGGACAAGGACATAGCCAGAAAGGGCTAGAGCTGAGAGTGAAGCATCTAGCTGATATAAAGTGAGGGGAGCTGCACAGAGCACCCAGATTTGCAGGTAGTAACCATCTGACCTAACCTCGATGGCTTGATAATCAGAACTCGACTAGAGGAAAATAAAAAAGGCAACAACTTTTGATAAAGGAAATTGCTACAATTTGATGAACTTGACTATACTCATAGAGGTGGTGGTGATGTGCTGTGGAGTCAGTTGTGACTTACAGCAACCCTGTACAGAGTTTGTAAGGCTGTAAATCTTTATGGGAGCAGAATGCCTCATCTTTCTCCCACAGAACAGCTGGTAGTTTCGAACTTCTGACCTTGCAGTTCGCAGCCCGATTCATAACCACTAAGCTACCAGAGCTCAAAATACCAACAGAGAGGGAAGGAGTCTATCTATCAATGCTGTCCCCTCTGTGTACGGGGTAGATAAGGATGGGCAACTTAGATACTGGCTATCTAAAATGGGGGGGCATAAAGGTGTACAAAAGTGACTGGCTTACAAGGTTTCAAGAGGAAATGTAGTTTAAGAGAGTGCAGGGGAAGATAGAGACCCCACTGAATAGTTTTCATCTTGTCTAGATGGGTCTGGTAAAAAGAGATGGGGAAAAGATTCTTAGTAATTATTATCATGACTAATTGTGACTGTCACAGTTGTAAAGGTAGAAGCTTTGTAACAAAAGTGGGGGAGTAGTTAATCTTACAGTCCAGAAACAGAGGACCCTAGGACCATCAAGGGAGAAGAGCACAAGTGGAATGTGGGACCTTAACCAGAGACCTTAACCAGAGAAGCAGCAACACCAGAGATGGAAGCAGAAATGGAGACATGGAAAGAGAGGGAGCAGTTGAGGACTCTAGATTCATGGAAAGAGAGGGATTGAGAGCTGGCAGCCAGGAGGCAGGCTTGCAGAATGTGCCCTTTGGTGGTGTAAATTATTACATATAACTGAATTTTGAAAGGGAAAAAGATATAAAAATGAATAGAGAGAAATACTGTTCACTGATGGTACATGGTGGGGACTATAATCATTGTAATGAAACAAAGTATATGATTTGTGGAATGTAATACTGATGATCTGACCTGTAAACGTTCACTCAATTACAATAAAAACTTTGCCAAAAAAAAGGAGTAGATGATTGATGCAGATGGTTCACATGCTCAGTTGCTCATCAAAAGATTAGAGGTCTAATCAACCTTGAGGCAGTTTAGAAGAAAGGCCTGGCATCTATTTCCCAAAACTCTGTCATTAAAAACCCCTATAGAGGACAGTGATGCTCTGACACATCTGGGGTTTCCTTGTGTCTCAGTTGATTCAACAACAACTGGTACCGGGACAGTGTAGGGAGTAGGAGCTGAGCAAGGTCACGGTGACCTGCTGGGGACAACACTGACCATTCAAAGTTTAAAGAGGGGTACACTCTAATCCCAAAACTTGTGTTTAGATTAGCCCCAATTCAAGCCCTGACACAAAAAGCGTCAGTGAGAATTGTATTTCACTAACTTTATCTCAAAAGTGAAATAATAGCTTTCCCTTTCTGACTTGAATAACTAGAATTGTGTTGTCTTTTTTCCCCCTCCCCCTTGAGACAGAAAAACCTGCCATGATACCACTGTAGACATCCAATAAGTACTTGTGGAGCAAAATGCAATTCATTACCTCACCTTGTTTCTGTCAGAGGATAATAAAATACAATTTGGAAACAAAGTTTAGAAAATAACTATGTTCCTGTTTGGAAAAATATTGTTTGCTGTTATGTGACACTTAATTGATTCCAACCCACAATAATCCCCCACATGACAGAGAAGAATTGTCCCATAGAGTGTTTTGTTTTGTTTTTGGTCTGTAATCTTTCTAGGAGCAGATTGCCAGATCTTTCTTCCTTGGAGCCTCTGAACTGCCAACTTTTGGATTAACAGTTGAGCACTTAACCATTGTACCACCGGCTCTTCTTTCTTCAGATAAATAACCAAAACCAAAAATGCTATCGTCAAGTTGATTCCTATTTAATAGCAACCCAGTAGGACAGAGTCTCAGTGTGGCCTTGTAGAGTAAGTACCAGACTGTTCATCCCAAAGTCAGCAGTTCAAACCCACCAGCTGCTACTCGGAAACCTTGTGCAGGGTTGCTATGAGTGAACCGACTTGACGGAATTTAACAATAACCACATAGGACAGAGTAGAACCTCTCCATAGGATTTCTAAGTCTGTAAATCGGCATTGCTACAGACTGAGTCATCTTTCTCCTGAGTTTCTCCCGGAACTCCTGGTGAGTTCCAGCCACCGGCAACCCAATACCTAATCCACCACCCCACCAGGACTCCTTTTTAGATTAGCAAGCTTGCCAAATTAGATTGAACACGGCTGACTGCAAAGCTGTCTTACTCCGAGCACATTGCCCTTCTCACTTGTACCTCAGATCTTACGTTGCTCTGTCGCATCTCTAATAGGGATACACTCGAGTCAGAATTATGGTTCTAATCATAAGGAGCCCTGATGATGCAGTGAGATAAGCATTGAACTTTTAACCAAAAGGTCAGCAGGTCTGACTTACAAGTCGCTCTGTGGGAGAATAATGAGGCAATCCATTTCTTTAACGATTTACAGATTTACAGCCTCTGAAACCCTGTGGAGCACTTCAACTCTCTCCTGTACCTAGGGTCCATACGATAGAAACTAACTTGATGGTTGTTGTTGTTAAGTACTGTTGCATCATTTCAACCCATAGTGACCCTGCATAGGGTTTCTGAGAATGCTCCTTAGAAGCCAGGATGGCCAGACTTCATCTCTCATTTTCAGATATACTATCAGGAGCAACCAGTCCCTAGAGATAGCTATCTTACTTGGTAAAGTGGAGGGTCGTAGAAAAAGAGGAAGACCCCAATGAGATGGATTGGCACAGTGGCAGCAGCGATGGGTTCAGGTGTAGCAATGATTGTGAGGTTGGCTCAGGACCAGGTGGTATTTCATTCTGTTGTGCGTAGTGTTGTGCGTACTGACTCTGGCACCTAACAATAACAGCAATAACAAATATGGTTTCCAAGTTGTGGCTGGTGAGTTTGAACTGCTGATCTTACAGGTCAAACTGACCTTGTGGTCCAGTGCTTATCCTACAGCACAGTTCTTATAAGCAAATCATGTTTACTGTTTATTTTCTCATTTCAGAAAGTGGATGTCACCAGCAGGGCTGTGATAGAGATCATGACTAAGACAATTGAATACCTTCAACCCAACCCAGGTAAGGGGTCCTCGTACGTATTTGGGGTGTCTCACCAAGGTAACATTGAGTTTCTCTTGTAGAAATTTCAGAATGAGTGTGTTTCCCCTTCATCATTTGACTTTTCAAGGTTCAGTGACTATGTGTTTTGACTGTTGGGTGGTGGTGGTGGCTATGTGCTGTGGAGTTGGTTCCAACTCATAATGACACTGCACAGGGTTTCCAAGGCTGTAAATCTTTATGGGAGCAGAAAGCATCATCTTTCTCCTGAGGGGAACAGCTGGTAGGTTCAAACTGCTGACCTTGCGATTCGCAGCCCTATTCATAACCACTACGCTACCAGAGCTTCTTTGTTGGGGGAGTTGTTAAGTTGTTGTTAAGTGCCATTGAGTCAATTCTGACTCATAGCTACCCTGTATAGGGTTTCCAAAGAGCAGCTGGTGAGCTTGAACCACCAAATTTGCAGTTCAAGTGACTTTGCTGTCTGACGCATTAGCCCATAGGGCCACCCCGGGGAGAGTGATCCCTAAAGGCTCACTGGAAGCAATCCAGGATCACTTGGCCTCACTGGATTTTAAAGATTCCATGCAGATGCTAGTTTTTGTGCCCATAATGTTATTTAACGGCATTGTGTGGATAGCTTGGGTCGTACAGTGTCAAGGTAGCTGAAAATTGTCATTAAATTAATTCTTATTATCCAGGAAATGGTAAGGATAACAACAACAACAGGGAGAGCCTTCAGATAAAATGATTGCCAGAGAGGTGAGGAGGTTTGAATAGTTTGGTTGAATAGAATGACTGCATCATTGAAGTATTTGGAGGGTTGCCCTTACTGCTGTTTCTTCTCTAAGCATATTGAGATGGGCATTTGTTACAGCTAACCTGCTTTAGACTAGGAGAGCAGAGTTGTAATGCAGGCACTTGAAACCTTGAAAAGAGAGCCAGGCAGCCCAGGGTGAAGTCTGTAGACTCCAGGTGTAACAGAGGGAGGCAGACTGCATCCTAGGTCTCTTTGCTATTCTTCCTTTATAGCAGTTCCCAACTGGAGTCCTGGTGTGGTGCTTTAGGATTAGCGCTGAATTGCTCATAGCAAGGTCAGCGGTTCAAACCCACCTGTCACTATTTGGAAACCCTGGTGTGGCACTGTGGGCTAATGCATTAGACTGCAAAGTCATTTGAACTGTAAGGTCGGTGGTTCAAGCTCAGCAACTTCTCCTTGGAAACCCTATACAGGGTTGCTATGGGTTGGAATCGACTCGATGGCACTTAACAACAACATATAGAGCTCTTGTCAGTTTGAAGCAACTCAGCAACACTTAACAAGAAGAACATCTGTCCAGTGTAGACACTTGAAGCAAGGATGCATGTACGTGATGTGTGAGGATTTGATAAACTGCTTATTTTAAGGATACTTTCATTGGGAGTTGTAGGTTGGGACTCTTTGGTGGTCCGAGGGAAGGTGGCTCAGGCAAATGCTTCAGCCTCAGTGTCTTCACAGTGTTAATGAGCACTGTGGGCAGTAGTGGGCATGAAATAAGAAAAGGGGAGAGTGGCAAGGGGGTGTGCGATAGTAAGCACTGGCAGTCTTCGCCAGCTCACTAAAACTCTCATTCAGCCTAGATTTACCTAGGACAGCATAGCTTGTTTGGTTTTTTGAAGATTAACAGAATATGTACTAATAGGAAAACTGTACAAGAATTGAGGTGTTTGAGTTATGATGTTCAAGAAGAGTTTTAAAAGTACCATGGACTGTCAGAAGAACAAATAAATCTGTTTTGGAAGAAGAACAGTCACAATGCTCCTTAGAAGCCAGGATGGTGAGACTTTGTCTCTCTTACTTTGGACATGTTGTCAGGAGGGACCAGTCCCTGGAGGAGGGCGTCATGTTTGGTAAAGTGGAGGGGCAGTGAAAAAGTGGAAGACCCCCCCCCAATGACGTAGATTGTCACAGTGGCAGCAGCAGTGGGCTCCAGCATAGCAACGATTACAGGGATGGCACAGGGATGGCACAGGATGGCACAGGGATGGCACAGGATGGCACAGGATGGCACAGGGATGGCACAGGATGGCACAGGGATGGCACAGGATGGCACAGGGATGGCATAGGATGGCACAGGGATGGCACGGGATGGCACAGGGATGGCACGGGATGGCACGGGATGGCACAGGGATGGCACAGGATGGCACAGCGTTTCGTTCTGGTACTCAGAGCTCTGTTTGTCACAGGGTCACTTTGAGTCAGAAGGGACTCTACGGCACCTGACAACAATAACTTCTGCTTTGAAGAGGCAGCTCTTCTCCAGTAGTGTTTTGAGTGTCTTCCAACCTGAGGGGCTCATCTTTCTGTACTATATTACCCAGAGTTCTGCTGCTGTTGGCTAACCATTCAGAAGTCGTCCATCCATCCCTCCTTCTTCCTAGTATGTTTTAGTCTGAAAGCTCCTGTTAGTATTTAAAGTAACAGTATGACAAACAGATGAGTGGTTGTTATTGTTTGTTAAATTTTGTTGTAAGTATGTTGTTGTTGTTAAGTGCCGTCGAGTTGGTTCCGACCCATAGCAACCCTGTATAGGGTTTATGAGGAGTGACTGGTGAGCTTGAACCGCTGACCTTGCAGTTCAAACAGTTTTGCAGTCTGGCGCATTAACCACAGCGCCACACCAGGACTTCCTCATTTTCACAGTATACAACAGCAACTATGAAAGAATTTAAAACTGTGCATTGAGTCTATTTTTAGTTTTTTAAAAAAAGATTTCTAGGAGGAGATAGGTGGGGACTTGATTTTTAGAAATGACACATTTTTAATTGAATGCTGCATATGCTAATTGTCTGCCAATGTAATAGTCTTATGGTTGTTTCATAAGTGAATGGAGTTTCATCACCAAGGAGAACAAGTAGGCCTTTACCAGGCAGTCGTAGGTCACATATGTATACAAGTGTCATGCAGAAGTTTCAAAACAACAATAAAACTCATATCATCACCCCACAAAATTTAGGCACTTGGGTTCTGATAGATACATATATATATTTTTTTCCATGAATGTTCTTGCCCTGAGAGCAGACACTGGCTGTTGTTATTGGTAAGTGCCATCAAGTCAGTTCCGACCCACACCAACCCTGCATAGTGTTTCCGAGCAGCAGCAGATGAGTTTGAACCACTGACCTTGCAGTTCAAACTGATTTTTCAGTCCATCTCATTAACCCACAGCGCCACGGATGTTGAAATATGCCTAATCAAGTACACTTAATGTTTAGAACCCGGTTGCCCTTGAGAAAGGGATACAGGAGTCTGGCAAACAAACACCCATGGGCACAGAAGGACAGATAGAATCTTCCCTAACTCAAACACTGCTGAATACTGTGACCACTGGCCCCTTAGTAAACCCAGGAACTGGGTGAGCAAATATGAATAACTGGATACTGGTCTTGAATAAGCAAGATATGCTTGGGTCAGGTCACGTACTGATATATAAATTTATATGCACTCCTAGAATATTTCCAAGAATTCTTGAAAATAAACTGAAGTCTCTTTGGTCATCATGTCAATATCAACTGTGTTTCAAGAATACATGATATATATATATATATATGGAGCTCTGGTAGCGTAGTGGTTACGAATCGGGCTGTGAACCTTAAGGTTAGCGGTTCGAAACTACCAGCTGCTCCGCGGGAGAAAGATCAGGCTTTCTACTCCCGTAAAGATTTACACCCTCGGAAACCCTGGACATAGCAAACCTGTACAGGGTTTCTGAGGCTGTAAATCTTTACGGGAGTAGAAAGCCTCAAGCCTCATCTTTCTCCCACGGAACAGCTGGTAGTTTTGAACTGCTGACCTTGCGGTTCTCAGCCCGATTCGTAACCACTACATTACCGGAACTCCATAGGTCAGCAGTTTGAAACTACCAGCTGTTCCGTGGGAGAAAGATGAGGCTTTCTGCTCCCGTAAAGATATATATACTGAATATGAACTGTTATACATTCTTGAGATACAGTTCATATTGACATGGTGACCAAAGAGACTTTGATTTGTTTTCTAGAATTCTTGGAAATGTTCTATGCGTGCCCCATGTTTACTTTTGCCTACCTCCAGAGCTATATTTTATGAAGGTAAATCTGAAGAAACCATTTTTGTGCATAAAACCTTGCCAGAGCTTTTCACTGCTTATAGGATTAAGTCTAAAAATTCCAGCATGACTTCAAGAACCCTACATGGGTAGTCTGCCCGCTCGCATTCACTTTGTAGGTGAACACATCTCTCACAGGTCCAGCATAAAGGTCACTGAGAAGTCTTCCTGGGCCCCTGACCTCATTTGGCTTCCCTGTGGACTTTGCTCTCATGATTCTAAGTGAGTTTCAGTGTTGGCATAGCCCTTATTATAGGTGAATGAATTGTTTGGGCGTCGTTTGTTTTCCCTCCCCTGTGAGAGCAGGACCATGCCTGCTTTATTTGCTACCACCACCCTCATACCTAGCTCAGTGCTGGGCAGCTGGTGGTACTTGGTTATTTGAAGAAATGAATGATGAAGCACAGTTGACAGTAACTAATGTGATAAAAATACTGTCATTCAAAGGAGAAGGAGACCAAATCTTTCCCCATGAACCATCAGACCTGCTCATGTAAACAATAATGATTGTACTTTTATGCAAATACCAATTCTAGATGCTGGGGATGGGGGATAGAAATAGGACCAGTATTGGGCCCGTGCCCTCTGGGACCTCACAGCTTGTTATACACACTGAGGGGATAGCCAAACGGGCTTCATAACTAATTCCTCTGAAGCTTCAAATGACTGAAAAGGTGGACACATGACCTAAGGTCTGTCCTAGGGAGCAGGGATTTTGAGAACATAGAACAGAAATCTGTAAAGTTTTCAGTACTGACTATGAAATTACTCTGATATAGCGTTAACCAGTACAAACTTCCACCTGCATAGATAAAAAAAAAATGAAGAAAATTGTGCACAACTTTTATTCTTCTGGTTGTGAGACCCAATTCTCATGGATCCTAAGAATAAAAATCA